CCGAGATGTGGGGATCCACTTAATGGGAACTTAGTAGCTAAGGGCAAGGATTTAGATTGTACAGTAGGAGCTAGTCTCTCTTAATTCTCCACTCATTCTAGGGCATGGTTATGGATGTTAGTGACCACCAAAATTGTAATAATTGTATACTCATTTTAAAAATAATGATTTTGTTTAATATGACTAATATGAATAGTTAATAATTATAATTATTAATTAATAAAATAATTGAAATTTATTAATTAATAAATTAAAACCAACCTTTGGATACTTACTAAAAAAAATCAAAATTTTAGTTATTTTCTATATTAATGGTAGTTATAACCACACACACTACTCAATTTTCATTGATTTAGGTTAGCCCCCTACTTTAAACCGACCCCTTCTGTTTTTCTCATAAGAAAATTAGCAAAATAATAACTCAGATCCTCTCCAATTATTTGAAAGTATATATTGATACCCAGCCAAACAATTGCCAAATATAACTTATAGCAAGTATCATACAAATTAAATCTAATACTTTGTTATTTCTTGTATTATTTTATTCAATCCAAATAATGAATTGCAAAAACAACATTAGAGCACAAAAGCTGCATTCATTTTCACTTTGTTACTTGCACTGATTTTTTTCTTTTTTTACACTTAATAATGTATTATATAAGAGGAATAATTATTTTTTATTCTCAAATAATTTTTCATTCGACACAAAACTTAAATTTAAGATACCTAATTTTAAGTCTAAAATTTTTAACTATTAAATCATTCCATCTTATTAATTATTTCCCTCTTTTTTCTTAGAATTATTTTATGGAAGCGAAATGTGAGTGTTTAAGGCAACGGAGGAAAAGGAGGAAAAAAAATATTCGTGTCCAGCGGTATTTCCATGGTGACAATCGGTCAACTCTAGCCGGAGGAGCCACGTGTCAGTCTCCAATCTTCTCTTCTTCCGCAAAACAACCGACCGGAAAGCCCGGGATCGCCAGTCACCTCGCCATATATATAACTGACTTCTCTTCCTTCCTCAACGGTCCCCCCTTTCCTACTTCCATTCTATGGTTTCACCCTTTTCTTCATCGCTTCTAACCTTTGAATTCACGAATTTTAACATGGTGTACGAGGTTTCGGCAATTGGGTGCTCTTGGTTTCGCTCAAAATCCGGTAAAGTTTCCAGCTTGCAAAAGATGTGGGGAGATATTGTGAACCATACGTCTTGTTGATTTCTGGGTCTGAGTGAATCGGTTGAGTCTTGGATCTGGAGCTTTCTGCATTTGGGTCGTTGGGTTCCTGCCAAAATGAGCTGTCTTTTAGCTAAAAATTTGAATTTGTAGTTGAAGGTTTGTGTTTTGAATTTGATTGTAAGATGAATTAGGGTTATTTTATTGGGAAAATTGTTGGAGAGGATCAATGACTGCGGGAACAGATATATCGCCGCCTCAGGTTCCAAGGGTGGATGGAGGGTGCAGTATAAAGGGTGTTGTAAATGAAGTAGAGGATCAAAATGAGGATAAATTGAAGAATTTGAATCAAGGGAACTCCGCTAAACCTCCAAGAAACCTCTCTGCTATGCGGCATTGTAGCAGCTCCGCTAGGTTGATTGAACCGGTTAGTTTTATTTGCTTCATGTTCTGTTTTAGATTAAGGCTCTATGTATCTATGCAGATGGCATCCACTAACACACTGTAGGCGTTTTGTTTTCTCGGTGTCTGTCTAATAATTTGTTTTCTCAGTGTCCGTCTAATAATAGTAATGGTGATTTCTTCTATAGAACGATAAGTTGCAGCTTTTTCCTGGGTATTTGTGATGTTTTGTATCTGAACATTAGGATGTGACATTAGATTTAGCCTGTGATGTGAAGCTCATAGTTCCTTGATTTTGATTTCATCACTTTTTTCTGTAGTCTTGATGCTTTGTGAAGCTATGTATTGTATTTGAAAGTGAACTAAGCTGGCTAACTCAAGGGGAAAAAAATTCAAAAAGATTCAGGAAAACTCATGCTGAAAGTGGTGATCTAGGAGTCTATGTTAATTGTTCTTTTTGTAACTTTGAGTTGTCACAAGATCTATGCTTTATTAACTTCCATTCTGTCTACGACCCGCGTGTCTTGGTGTGTGTTGCTTGTGTAGAAGATCTAAACAAGTTAATGTGCCCATCTTTCTTATTTGCAGGAATTAGATGTTGGGATTATGGGCTCCAAGCCACAACATGAGAATTCTGGGTTTATACCTGTTTTCCATTCAGGAAGCTGTTCAGAGAAAGGACCGAAACAGTACATGGAGGATGAGTTTATTTGCGTTGATGATCTTCGGCAACATCTTGGTTCAGCTGCAAATCTTTCTTCTCAAGGAGCATTTTATGGGGTGCGTAAGTTGCTGTTAGTGTTAGGTTAGAATACTTCAATTTTCAAATGATAGTTTGTTTCTGCATAATAGATGAATTTATATGTGCTGTTGCTAAGGAATTCTGAATAAAACTCTATGACAATGACGTTGTTATTAATTCTCTTTCTTACAATTGTTAGCAGTTGCATTTACCATGCTTTTCTCATCACTAGGTTACTTTGAATATGTGAGGAATCAAATTAGAGGAGCATTTATATAGAATATGCTAATTGAACTGATGCACTGTGATTCTATTTATTCTGAAGGTGTTCGATGGACATGGTGGAACTGATGCCGCATCATTTACCAGAAAGAACATCCTTAAGTTTATTGTTGAAGATTCTCACTTCCCAACTGGCATAAAAAAGGCACTTAAGAGTGCTTTTTTGAAGGCTGACCATGCACTTGCTGATGCTAAATCCCTTGATAGCTCATCTGGCACCACAGCTTTGACTGCCCTGATTCTGGGAAGGTGAGGAACTTGGCATAAAATTGGTCTTGATGCATCCAGTTGTTTTTGAACCCATTTAACATTCTCCTCTTTTATAGAGTTAATGTGTTGCAATAATTGGTTTGTTGTCTTAAACTTGCAGGACCATGCTCATTGCAAATGCTGGGGATTCTCGAGCTGTGTTGAGTAAACGGGGAAGGGCAATTGAGCTGTCCAAAGACCACAAACCCAATTGTACCTCTGAAAGACTAAGAATAGAGAAACTGGGTGGTGTCATAAATGATGGCTACCTCAATGGACAACTATCAGTTGCACGTGCTCTTGGAGACTGGCACATTAAGGGCTCTAAAGGTTCAAAAAGCCCCTTAAGCTGTGAACCAGAGTTGGAAGAGATTGTCATTACAGAAGAAGATGAGTTTTTGATAATAGGCTGTGATGGACTATGGGATGTGATGAGCAGCCAGTGTGCAGTTACAATGGTGAGGAAGGAGCTCATGCAGCACAATGATCCTGAGAAGTCCTCAAGAGCATTAGTTGTGGAGGCACTCCAACGCAACACATGCGATAATCTCACGGTTGTGGTGGTATGTTTCTCTGCAGACCCGCCTCCTAAGATTGAAATTCCTAGATCGCATAGGAGGAGGAGTATATCAGCTGAAGGGCTGGATCTTCTTAAAGGTGTCTTAAACAATCCATAAAACAAGAAGTATCCAGAGATTGTACAGATAAGGCTGGAGGTTTACTACCATCAAATGGGGGATTTTTCTGAGTTACTGCATTCCCCTGCTGTGGCTGGACAGAGCGGATGGTTTCTTAGCATAACATTCTGTACATCTGATATACTTTGTCCTTTGATCATTGACCAGTATTTTTTCAAGTTGCAGTACTAATTAAACTGCTAATAAGTAGTCTCAATTTTTACCGGAAACAGTCTCAGCATGTTCTTCCACCATGGCTTAAGGACCTAGTAGCAAGCTCCAAAAGGCGGTGGAAAGTATAGATTTCAAGAAATTTCTCCCTCAGAAATTTGGATGAGCAGGCTGGGAACTTGGGACTACAGTAATATCTTCTTTTCTTATGTATAAGTATACCATTAGATATTAGCCAAGTAGCTTTTAAACGTCCTAATGCCTACGAGTTCTGTTGTAAACATTAAGGCTTGACATCTCTCTTGGAGCTCAGACCTCAGAGCTTTAAACACTTTTCTTCTCTCTTTTGTCTTCTTCTTCTTTTATTTATTTTTATTTTTATTTTTATTTTTTTCTCTTTTACACCTATAGTTTCTGCAATATGTCAAACACTTAAGAGAGTTGATGAAATGGTAATCAATTTTGGACCTCAGACTTGTTTGAATTAGTGTTTCTATATAGTTTATGGTTTGTATAGTGGGAATGGGTTCAGTGTTTCTATATAGTTTACGGTATGTATGGTGGGAATGGGTTCAGCCATTGTATCTATCTAGGACTTAGCCTTCAAGTTGTTAGGGTTCTAATTACCAATTAATGAAATGAGTAAATAGTCGAATGTTAACCTTTTTCTTTTTAAAAGTAAGAATTGTAGATTTGAATTTTAATGATATACGAGCAAATGGAAGGAATTGAAAAGGGAAATTGTTACCGCCTACTTTAATTCACTAGTGAAAATTACTTAAATTTTTTTGAGGAAAATTTCCCCAAAAAAGTAAAAACCCAAATTAATTAATTTTATGCCAAAAAAATAATAAATTTCAAACATTTGGGCCTGGTATTTTGAGGAGGAAAACCCAAAATTAATAGTTCAAACCATTTGGGCCTGGGTTTCTGTTCAATGTAGTCCGACTTTCAATACAGCCCAATTCTTAAGCCCGAAGGCGAATTAAAAGTTAAAACCCTCCTTGTTTCTCTCTCAGTATTACCGCGACGGAGGCAAGCGAAAAATGTCGACTCTGAAAGAGATCCTAACCCGGCGGCCGGTGGCGGCCACGATCCGCCTTACAGTTCCTGCCGGTGGCGCTCGCCCTGCACCACCTGTGGGTCCAGCACTGGGTCAGTACCGACTGAATCTCATGGCCTTTTGTAAGGACTTCAACGCGCGAACCCAAAAGTACAAACCGGACACGCCGATGGCCGTCACCATTACCGCCTTCAAAGACAACACCTTCGAGTTCACCGTCAAGTCTCCCTCCGTCACGTGGTACCTCAAAAAGGCCGCCGGCGTCGATTCAGGAAGCAGCCGCCCAGGTCACGTTGTCGCCTCCAGCTTGTCCGTCAAACACATCTATGAGATTGCAAAGATTAAGCAATCCGATCCTTACTGTCAGTATATGTCGCTGGAGAGCATTTCTAAGTCCATTATTGGGACTGCTAAGTCCATGGGGATTCAGGTTGTGAAGGAATTGGAATAGTGTCATGGTATGAAATCTCACGTTACTGTTCTGAATTCTTGGGTTTCTTTTGGTTGAATTGTTTAGTGGACGGTTTTGGTTACCAACATCTTGCTTGTTAGCTGTTCGACGAATTGTGTCTGTGGGAAGTTCATAGTTGTCTTTAATTGTCTAGGCTGCCAAAGTGAAGAGATTGGCTCTTTCTGATTAGTTTTGCGCTTCAATAAGTTCAGCATTTATTCTTCAATCTCTCATTTTCAATGAACACTTTCGTCTTCTTGGGCTACACCATCTGAATTGCTTCTTAGCATGAATTAATGTTAATAATGTTGGTATGTGCTTTTTTGAGCAGCTTTTAAGTTTTTGTGCTAATCTCAATTGTTTTTATAGGTGTTTTCATTCTAGTTTAGTAGTTTAGGAAGTTGCTGTCGAGTTATTCTTCCTCAATGCAGAGCAATTGAGTGAATAGGCCATTCTGATTAGAAATTGGAAATTTACTTCTTTTAGGGGAGAGATTCTAAACTTATGTCTATGAGCTTCAATGCCTTTCAGTTCATATTGATGAATAACAGAAGTTTATAGGCTCTAATGTTGTTCTGATTTATATTAGTTGCTTATGAACTTTCTGGGATTTTCACTGCCTTAGTCATGTCTAAATCTTCCTTCATTATTCAATTATATTGATTACATTGCATTTCTGAAAGTGATACATACGTATGTGCTGCCAAGCAATATGATTTTGTTGCTTCAAACTACTTCTGAAATTATGTCAATGTTAAATTATGTAGGTTGTGATGGTTTTTAGGGCATACTCTTGATTGTCTATGATAATGAGTTGCACTACCGTTTTGTTTGTCATACTGTGAACTGTAATGAAGTGTTCGTAGGTAAGTTTTTGCTGCTCGGCAAAGCCAATGTTGAACGACATGAAGCGGATGGCTGCCGGCGTCTTGGCCCCTCCCCTGCTATCAAGATCTTTTCTTTTGCTGAAAGTAAGAAAGGAGGATTTTTTCAATGACTTTCTCCTTTGATCAACCTCATTGTGGATGGTGTAAAGAACGTTGATTTAAAATTAAAATCTACACTTACAGACAATTTACAAGAGAGAGGATGCTTTCCTGCAAAATGGGTTATAAAATCTACCTTGAAAAACTTCAACGACTTTAACACTACTATGAATTAAAGTTAACAAATCCTAATTAAACTAAATAGCATGTGATTTAAAGTAAATTTACGAGAATAAAATGTATTTAAGTTAAATTAAACATATTCATTATTAAATTAAAATGTTATTTACTAACAGGTTTGAAAGTTAAATTACTGCAGAATTGGAGATTTTACCCTAATTAAAACTAAGGGTGTTCATATCCGATCCAATCTAATTAATTCGACTTAAATTGATCCAATCCAATAAAAAAACCAATCCAAATCGATATAAAATTCAATTGGTTTGAATTCTAAAATTTTAAAACCAATATAATTGATTTGGTTTGTGATTTTATTTTCAAATTGTCTGAACTGCTCAATTACAAAATAAAATATTATTAGAAGATAATTTAATTAAATAATATAACATATTTTTTATAGTATTTTAAATTTTCTTTTTCTTTTTTTTTATTTTACAAGATAAAAACTCCATTAACTTAATTAAAAAAATAAAAATAGAACATCTCCATATTCCATAAGTTACTTTTCCATTTTAATAATGCACTTTAACCTTAATTCTAAATTTTTAATTCATCTGCAACTCTATTCTCTCATAATTAGTTTGCGCTTTTACTCTTAAAATCTTAAATTTTTAATTTATTCTTAAAATAATTTTATGATTCTCTTAATTAAGTTTTAAATAAGTATTATTCTAAACATTTTAAAACTATATAATAAAATTAGTTTTGATGTTCTACTATTCTTGGATATTTAGTTTAGAAGTTTTAAATTTTGATTATGAATACTTCTAATTAATTTTAGTAATATTCATGTTAAGTTTTATTCACTTTTAACATGATTTAGAAAATGAAATTAAATTATTAGTGCATTAAGAAAAAAAAAACTAATTTTAACCTTCAAGAATTATTTACGCTATACTAGAAATTTGAAGTTATTTTTTATTGTTTTTGGTACCTCTAGTGATATAACCAAGAAGAATTTTTTGAGCTTTTCAATTTTTACAAATGTAAAGGAGTATAAGAATTCATTTATAATTTTTACCTTTATTATGTTTTTACTAATTTAGATGTTAATGTGTTTTATAGTTATACATTCTATTTGATATTAAAATATTTTTACATTATTTTATATATTTAATAATGTTAAAAATCGATCAGTCTGACCGAACCACACCGATCCAATTTAAATTGGATTGATTTGATTATTATATAATAGTGGATTTGATTGATTTAAAAATTTTATTAATCGATTAAATTGGATTAATTTAAAAAAATAATAAAATCCGAATCAAACCATACCACGAACACCCCTAATTAAAACTAAAACAAACATAAACAGAATTAAACTAACATGCTTGAAGTTAAAAAAAAAAAACGTGAACACCATATAAGTAATCATTGAAGAAATGCTACTTATCATAAACATTAAATTAATTGCAAAAAAAAAATAGTACCTTGAAAAAATTCGAAAGATTGAAGTTCATTGCATGAAATGAAATCATTGAACCGAATACATGAACTAATTTGTCTACTGAAATGATAAAAAACAACCTAAATCTATTAGAAATTAAGTTGATATCTGAAATATATAAGCAATTACAGAGAAAATAAAAGTTTGAAAATTTATAGTTTTTAAGTAGGGCTGACCGTGTATCATTTCTTTCAAAATTTCTCTTTTATTCTCATTTTTCCAATTGTAACTCCCCATTTTCTATAGTTACCAAATTGTGAGCAGTTTTTTTGATGAGGTGAGACACCTCAACAGTTGACTTCTAGATTTCGTCACATGTTCTATTATCTCATAACTTATACTCATAACTGAACTCTTCTCCTATATTTCAATTAAAACAGATCTAATTTAACTAAATAAAGGTAATTAAAAGATAAAATTTTGTCTTTTTAACTTCTTTCATCTAATATGACATTTGAT